CTTTTTATGTACATATTATAAGTGTTCTACAACAAAACTATTTTATTAAAACCAATTTTCTGTTTTCACACACACATATATTCTGGGATTCATGATAAATGTATGTTTGAGTTTCTATATTGACGATATATTGTCAATTAACAATGCATGGTCATTTCGATTCCTACGTCTATACGATATATCCTGGTGCGCTTGAAATAAAAGACACCACAGAGTCTAACACATGTGTTTCATACTTGGATATTTTACTTGAAAAAGACGTTAATGGTATTCTAACAACCAAGCTTCATGTATATGATAAACGTGATTACTTTAACTTTTCTATCGTCAACTTCCCTTACTTATGCAGCAATAAACCTCATCACCTGCATACAGAGTCTATATACCTGGTATCTCAGTTGATTCGACGTCTATGTATGAACAATTTCTAAAACGAGGTAAATTATTGACAGGCAAGTTGATGAGACATGAATATCAGCTATCTCGTTTAAAGTCATCATTTTGTAAATTCTATGGTCGATATAATGACCTTGTCAGCAAATACAATTTATCATTGAGACAAATGCTGACTAATGTTTTTCATACTTATTGTTAGTCCATTATTTATACACTGAATTGACGACGGATTTTCCCGTTATTTCCCGATCATGACCAGGATCACACGGCGGGGGTGACCGGTCAGTAGGGGATGCTCACTCGTCCATGGCACCTGATTCCACCTCTGATGTTTCAAAGATCAATGTTTGCTCTGCTCCTATCTTGTATTGTTTTATGGACTTTGATATTGAATACTGTTCGTTATCTCCATATCCTTCTCCTTGACAAATAAGTATTTCATTATTTTATTTAATTATTTTTTATCAAGTTTTCAAACTATCAGTTGGAATTCTCATGGTATCTAATTGTTCCCTGTTATAACAAAAAAACATTTTTGTATTCATATGAAGCAGAATATTTATCAAATTGTTTTTAGAGAATTAGAAAAGAAGTAAAAGAAATTACCTCTTGTACCCTTCCATCTCCTATAAGTGTGATTAGAATACGACCTGATCACATGAGACGTTTTCTATTCCATTATACCTGATCCCTTTACCAATGCTTTAGATATTTTTTTCGGTTTTTCGAACATGACAAGGAGCACATGGCGTATGTGAGCGGTGGCAGGGACTGTTCACCCCTCCATGACACCATATCCCACATCTGATGTTTTGGAGGTCCGTGTTTGCTACGCTCTTATTTTGTAATCATATGTATAATGAACTTTTGAGCTCGAATACCTTACTTTATCTCCACACATTCCATATTCAATCTTGTATGTTCTCCTACTTATATATGATTCCAATTTAATCTCAAGGATATTGGAAGAGACTTTAAATGTTGTTCAGACCAATTTTTTTAGTCTCTACGAATCTCGCTGAGATAAGTTAAATATGATGTCTAAGCTTGATAACCATTGATTATCTTCATGAATCTTTGGTTTATTAGTACACGTACCTGTGAAGAGAAATGTTATGAAGAATATTAAAATAACGAGTATACTGAGTATATGAATTCTTAAAATTATCTTTCTAGTAGTAAGCCTTATCATAATAACATTTTAATAAAGAAAAAGCTCGAAATAAAAACTATTTGTAAAGCAGTATAAAAATACAATATGCCTCCGCACATCCATGCAACTGTTGTATTAATTCAATATAGTGTCCTCTAATTGACATTGAACCCGAAACAATCACTTTGAGACTTCTCAATTACTCACGGGAAATTACATTTAAAATGGCGGCGGTGATCTCTTGTTCCCAAGAGGGACTGTTTGAGTCTGCTGATGGCTTTCTTGCCTGAAGGGAACTCTTCAATCATTTTGTTAACAATGATTTTATGGTTTCTTGGAACTGAAATTTGATGAAATGTTCTGATACCAGTAGTTGTTAAGATTTGATCAAATTGTTCTGCCCAAATTGTTTGCTGTAATCTATACGTATGATTTTTTTGGCGCATGTCAGGATTTGTATATTATTAATCGTCTGACTTATAGTTCACATGGTGGTTGATCTCTTTCTTATAATTAATGTTGAAATTTAACTTATTTTCAATGTTGCCTAAAGAAATTAATTGACGTTTTTCTTAAACCGCATATTCATTTTCCCTTTCATAACCGCGTCCCTCATCTAGAGTTTACAGAGATCCAATTTTTTTCTTTCAAATTTACATTGCTCTAGTGTTATTTTAACGAATTATTCATCACTGTCCAATATCTCGTTAAGCCAGTACTAGTTTCAGTTGTCCCACAATGGTATACACACCTCAATGTAAAGAAAAAAAAAAATTATTATTCAACTTATGTAATTAACAGCGCAACGGCGCAACGCGGTGGATTGTATTTTATTTTGATCACTATTTTTACACATTAAAATTGTAGAAAAAATGTCCATCATCCGAAAAAAATCTGTGAAATGTTGGGATATAGAGCAGTACCAGTAATCAAGTTGAAATTCAGTAAAAAAAAATACAAATTGAAAAAAAAAACAGCAAAAATAGACCTATCAGAGGTAGGATCGAGTGCGTACCATAGAGGAGCGAGCATTTCCCGCCGATGGCCGAACAACATTAGAGAACATTTGATGTAATGATTAGGTTGAATTTGCCGACAAGTTCATTATGTCGACCGTAAAGCATACGAAATGATGAATTCAAACGAGACTTTTATATATTTGTTTTACGTACTCATATCTAATAAATATTATGTTATATGAATAATATCATATTTACTAGTACTGTAATAAACATACCCTTTAAAGCATATAGATTCGTATATATGTCTGTAAACAAAGGACTTACATGAAATAGCACAAATCAAGGCTTATTTTCTTAAGTTGACTTTTCTTGAAAAAAAAAAAAACTAAAGCGTACAATATTTTCTTGATTGTTTTCCATGAAAATTAGACGGCTCACAAAATCATATCTGTCGATTCTTAAAAAAGAGTCTTCTTTTTGAAGATAAAGTGTGTAATAAAATTAAATTAACAATCACAAACAAAAACATGTATAAGTATAGGTTAAGGATGGTCATTTTTAATGAGGCAATTACGGGACGGAATTTGTTTACAGATACAAATCCGTAATTAAAAGATTAATTATGTCATTCATTATTGTTGTTTAATAAATGGAAAATGTGATGAAAACTAACGGTGGTCGATATCAGAAAATCTATAAATATAAAAATATGCTAACAAGACATAAAACACGAACTTGTGTATATTACAGCGGTGGGTCAGGTGCCAACAGAGAATAAAAAATCCCCTGTTGCCGGTTACAACCACCGTGATCCCGATATATGGATTAGGAAGACGGATTGTTGTATACTCGAATCAACATAAAAACAAATACCTAATACTGTAAACGCATTACTATTAGATGAGTATTCTTGATAAAGTCTTTTGCGGAAAGCAACGTCCGCTTATTCAAGTACATAGCTAAATGTCTTGCAGATGTAGATATTCATGATAACATAAGGAAATGTGCCCAATTAAATCTTCGCTCACTTGTTCATAAATCAATTCCCGCCATATATACATGTATTGTTCATGCAAATTGTTATACATTTACGGTAATTGATATGATTGATATTTGGTATTGATTACATTTTACCGGATATGTTTGAGGTGATTTTATAATACAATGCAACCGCTAACTATCAACAGAGAGCACCGGTAATTGGCAGTTGCCAGTTGTCCAAATATGTTATCTTATTTTATATTTTTTCATTAAACTACATTTTTTTCACGCATTTTGAGTAACAGGAATGTTTTTGAACGTTAAATTTTAAGAATAATATGAAAAAGGTGAAAAGGTAAATATAGTGAAAAATGACAATCAAACAATATCTGTATATTGAAGTTATCATAACTTTCAGAAATATATGTCAGGAATGAAATTCTACTGAATGTTTTGAAGAAAGTAAACCTTAAAATCGTATCAGGTCCTCTAAATACCATTACAACAATGTAAAGATTATAGATTCCTAGGTTATCGAAGACCACCTCTTCCAACAAATGTTTTAAATTTGAATGGGAAATATTTATGCGCCTTTACTGGCCAATCTATTTGACATATTTATTTTAAACAGAGTTTAATAAAAAAAACCAAAACTTTTACCCGAGAAATAGACAACATTGACTATTTTTTTTTCAACTTGACATTTAAAAATGTATATCGGCGGGTTTTTTTTCAATCAATAATACTTTCTTCAATTCATATATCAACTCAATATATTCCAGTAAACTTGTAATCAATTATAGGCTCAAACACATCTATTTCATATTCACTCCTCCATGGCACCTGATCCCACCTCTGGTCTGTAGGTCCGTGTTTACTCTGCTCCTGTTTGTATTGTTTTATGAATTTTTGAGCTTAAATACTGTTTGCTATCTACATATATTTCATGAGATGCCTTAGTTTTTCAATCTTCATCTTTCTTTGTTCATGTTATATTCTCCTGCAAATTGTGTTCATGTGTCCCATCTTACTCAACTCTTAAGAGAATATTCTGAAGTCGATCAATTTCTATACTATTTTTACAGGCTACTACAGATGAATTGATGATACAGGAATGTCAACCTCGTTTAAAACTAACATTTACTATATTTCATATTTATTGTAATGACATTTTTTGATGAATCCTGTCATTGAGTCGTATTTTGTTGACATTTTAACCAGTCTTTTAGGCCTTAGCTTTTAACTTAATTTTGATAGCGAATGTCCTGTCTACTTGATCAATGCATAGCTAGGGCTCACGACGGGTTTGGCAGATCGATAGAGGATGCTTACTCTTTGTTCGCACCTGATTCCTAATCTGGGATTTTCGGAGGTCTGTGTTTTATGCTATGATCACTTAATTGAATTTTCTAAATAGAGTGCTTTATATCTATAACTGTTCAACATCTTTGACTTTTTCATATACAAGAAATAAAGCAAAAAGAAAAATCGCAACCAACATGAAATTTTATTATAATGGTGTACGGAATAAATAAAACAAATACAAAAGACTTGGAATGATTTCCTGATGCTAAAATATACTTGTTTTCTCAAGAGAATAAATATTATCAATTTTCGTAAAGTAAAAATATTTCCTTGCTATTAAAGCACACATTGGACAATGAAATACTCTAAATAACCATACAAAGATACGTACGTCTTATATCTGTAAGATCCCAGACATAAAAGTTGATTTACAGGTAAAACAATGTTTTTTTTCTGTATTCTCATGACAACGAAAATGAAATGACACGACGTCTATTACAGCACATTTTCTTACACTCTCGTCTAAACAAAGAGTTAAAAAAGGAATAAATGATAGGATTTACACACGAATTTAGAAGGTACGATCTGATAAATACTTGATACACAACTTCACCTTCGTGAGAGATGTGTTCCCATTCTCCTGGATGAATGGATCGATGCGTAGCTAGGGATAAGAAAGGAATAAAGCTCAATATGTAGGTCAAGGTCACAAGAAATAACATGAAGGTCGTTTTTTCAAGTTTAAGATTTTGCTTTTTGGGCGGGCGGAAGTCTTCCCTCCTTATGACCGTATTTCTTGTACCTGATACGGAATCCAAGCAAGTCATACTAACTGGCGTGTTGAGATCGTTACGAGAGTTATTTGTTCTTGACAGGCGCAAGAGAAGGTCCTTGGAACTAGAGAGAAATTGTTTTCGAAACTTCCATCTTTTGTAAACTGCTAATCCGATAAATATATACAAGACAGAAATTATTACGAAAATTGTAATTGTTGCGATAGTGTGGAAAGCAAAATAAGAGAGCACAAATGGAGATGAAAGGAATTGGTTTTCCACAAAACAGTTTTTGGCGAAGACGTTCGATCCAAGTACAGTTGTCAAGGTACCATACATGACAAGAGCTGGCCAAGTGGTAAACACGGAAATGACGAAACATACCCCCATGGCGATTTTAGCGTGGCGAACAGTCATGTTGGTCTTACTAGGGTGGCATATCCTCTGATATCTGTCCACAGCAATTACAATCATGATCAAGGCTGCGATTGTGTTACACAAATAAGTGAAAAACCGTGAAAGTTTACAAATAACGTTGAAATCAAAATCCATCGGGTTTGTCATCATAGCCAGTTCTGTTGGCATGGTAACAAGGCAGTTAAAGAGATCCACTATAGCTAGGGATAAGATAAAAATTTGTGACGATTTTTTTTCCTTCCATCTAAAATAAATATAACAGACGAGACTATTCCCTGGAACACCTACCACCAAAAGCACAGATGTATACACTATGGCGGCAATATTTTCCTGGAGTTTGTGAAAAATGACGTAATCCAGAGACACGGGTGACGTAGCATTATCAGCCATTTTTAATGTTTTCTTTTTCAATATTATGGCAGAGGTGTTCACTAAAACACGGAAAACGACAAAATTAGATCGTTAACTGATTACAAAATATTCATCCATTTTCACCACAGATCATATGCACGTTGTTTGAATAATAATACTCTGAAAAGGGCAACATTTATTTGATTGATGCACAGCGCACAGGGTTAAAAAGTTTGCACTCTTAAAAACCCTGCAAAAGTTCAAATAATAAACTCCTACTTGATATATTTTCCAAAGCGCACAACTTTGTTTATTACGTGTAACCTTAAAAGCGGCTTTTCATGTCGAAATACGTGCATCTTACTGGCACTATCCGCAGGTATCATTGCACTTGCAGCTGATGCAGCCAATGACTGCGTTTGTATCGGAGAGGCCTTTAGTAACCTCAAAAAACGGGATAGAAAATCAATACATGTATCACAGGCTGCTAACGCAACAATACCTATATCAACTTTACTGAACAATGGAAAATGATTAAAATTGAAAAATTAATCCTGGTATGTTAGTAGAGGCTCATGGGTCATATTGATCATTTAATTATACATGTATTATCCCCTGTGTTTACTTTCGCTAGAGATGGCACTCAAAATGTTATTGCCCAACGAGAAGAGAACTTTGTCCCTTTATTGTATTTCATCAATAAATGCTCATAATCGATGAACCTTTGATTGAGTTTAATAAAAAGAATCAATACATTATCTAACTCATTCATATTTTATGGCCACATTATAAAATCCTTAAATTACAACTTCTGCTATAGTCTGATGTTAGATATTCAGGGGATGTTTGCGTGCAGTTGATCATGCTGCAGATAGACTTTCAATCCATTTACATCAGTTTATCTAATGCATGAAGGTACTAACAGATGTCACGAGCAAGTAGGCAATGATTTACACGTGCCCTTTTTTCTAGGTATACATGCATTAGGTTGTTGAACATCAATGTTGTCGACAAATATTTCAAAGTAAAGCTTTACAGAAAAAACAACAATATTTAATCAGCTCCCCTAATAATAACCTATACAAGGCTGTAAGAATGGGGAGGGTAGGGCAATTTTACAAAATTATAAAACTTTACAGATACTTCACAAGACGTAAATTTCAAATTTAGACACTTGTTTTCAATGGATTTTTCCTGCTTATCAAAGAATTCAATATGTATAAAAGGTTGTACCCCACTCTCAACTGAAATTGCTTCCCGAGGGCCTGTTATGTAAATATAGTAACAAACAAGTTAATTTTGTTTACTTGCAATCAATATTACGTATTCTCTTATTTGTGTTAAGCACAAAAATATCCCGTAAATATGATGTCAATGACTGCTACAGCTGTGTTTGTCATTAACAGGACTAGATCTTGTATATTTTCGAGTGAAAGTAATCATTCATCAGAGTTACATTAAATCCAATCAAATATTTCTTTTACCCTTTATTTTTGATCAAACTTTTTCCTGATACGGAACGTTGATTTTTTTCCTCTTTTTCTATTTTTTTCTTCTTCTTCAATTTAGTAGCAAGCAACAACATGCACTTTGCATAAGATTTCATTTTTATCATTGAAAAATTAGCACTATCAAATCATATTAATTTTATCTTTGATACTTACATTTCAAGGGCGGATCCAGAGGGGGGGTCCAGGGGGTCCGGACCCCCCCTTTTTCGCGGACCAAAAAAATGTATACACCCCCACCCACCCCCCTCCCCCCCCCCCAAAAAAAAAAAAATTAGAAATATAAATCAAGAAAAAAAAAGGAAAGAAAGAAAAAAAAAGAAAAGAAATAGAAAGTTGACGAGATTTTACCGGAAACATCAGCGCTGTACGTATACAGTTTTGTTTAGAATAACTCTGAAGCTGCTTCCAGTAAGGCATGAAGATTAAACTGGGCTTTTCTTTTTAATTCTCAAGCCATGAATAGATAATAAATAACATACAGATTGAGTACAAAATTTATAAGAAGCCCTGTGATCTGAACAAACTTTGTTTATCAAATATTCAGTTCATGAAAGGGTTAGGCAGTAGAACAAGCACTGCAGCTATTTCAGTTTTTTGCATATTTTTTATAAAACACATAGGGGCCTATTATACTATATTTATCACATAAACGTCACGTTTCAAAACTACACGTGGGGGTGGTTATGTACGTGATTATCAATTTCATAAATTTTGATACAAATACCCCAAACTATGCTTAAACTCTCAAGTTTGTGAATGGCACGGTGTAGGGGAGGGGTCTACTATTGAGTTTTGTCTTCAGAGAGAGTCAGCTAATAATATTCCTTTTAAAAGGGGGAGTCCTATTTTACTCATCTTCGCAGTAGCGTATCAGAAACCCTTGGCTAGCGAAGATGTATTTTACTTTTTTTTTCTTTTTTTTTTTACAATTTGTAGGGAAAAAAAAACAGGTTGGGGTGGTTCCCTCCCCTCCCCCATGTAATGTACATGTATATTTTTAAAGTAAAATAAATTCTAGATAGGCCTTAATGTGCGGATACCCCTTCCCCCATTTTTTTGGTTATTTGTGCCTACGAAATAAAAAAATGTATTATCAAAATTGTATATCCTTGTAGAAAAGAGAGAATTATAACTGAAAATTAATGTTAATAATATGCCTCTGCTGGTGTACTTTTAGTCCCCGAGGGTATTCATAAGCCCAGTTTCGTCTAGTACTCCAGTGCTAGCATGAAACGGATATATAAATTTTAATGTGATAAATTTTAGAAATAAAGGACGTATCTCCCTCAGGGATAGCTCTGGTCCTTGTTCGGATTTTGGCTTATGTTCGGCACTTTCCATCCATGCTCGTAGTTCTTTATCTTTTTTAAGATTTCCAATAGTTTTGGTCTGAGCATCACTGAAGAGACATTATTTGTGGAAATGCGCATCTGGCGCATCAAAGTTCATACCATTCATTTAATTCTTATGATAAATATAGAGTTTTACGATATTTCTGTTAGATCTGTCACTCCAGTATAATTGACCAAAATAGTAAATGTCTAAAGTTGATAGAGCAATTCGCTATAGATATTTGGGACTCTAGGTCTGATCAGAACAGTGTGATATTGGGTTAATATCAAACAATGGTTTTGTATTATTAGTCTCCCTTTCTCGCTTTGCTGAGAAGAGGGAGGGGTGCTAGTTTACTCTCGGTCCATCTATCCACCTGTCTGTCCTTCCGATTGCGATTTTCCGGATTTTTCTTTACACTGTGCCTTGAATACTCACAGAACAAGTATATTCATTACGTTTGACATACTTTTGACTGAATTATATCACCGTTAGAGGACTTTATTTTGCTAAGTTTGCTAAGTTATTAATTTTATCATATAGTCTTAGACTCTTACTTACCATGATTGCCTATTCAACTTTCCCGTCTACAATTTATTTGATGATATTTGAAAATGTAAATGTAGTATATCTCCGTTTACCGCTGAATATATCAAGTTTAAAAATTTTGTATGCAGGATGGATCTAGGCAGCAATTCTTCTCAGTTTTGTACAAAAACTTGAGACGCACCGCGACAAAGGGATGGCAGCACCTGAAATTCAGTGCAGCATTATACCATAAAGCTCTAGAAAAATATGCAATCCCTCAACACAAACAAAGTGGGTTGAAAATTGGGAGCGGTAGATGTTGCAAACAGTACCTAATAGGTAAAAATGTTGGACCCCCCCTTTTACAAATTCCTGGATCCGCCTATGCTGACAGAATGACTGATAACTCGTGCAAACACGCCACTAAAAGATTATCTTTGTGTGAATATTATACTTTTTTATTTATCATCCGGTGGTTTCCTAGAACGAGAAATTAAAACGATGATGAAATGAATATGAAGATGTTATATTTGTTTTTCTTCCGTTAATTTCACGTGTCTCCTTGACAACAAGATTACCCTCTCTGTTGATGTGGCATAAATTAATGTCTTTCTTCAGTAAACGAGAAAATTCATCCTGTTATTTGACAGGAAGCGAAATATCCCTCGGATATTACAAAATACAAATAAAATCCTCTGTCGTGTATTGTTTCAGTGATGAATGAAATCAGGGAAGAATATTCGACAGAAAGTCATTCTGTTCTGATATATTCAAAAGCCAACCTGTTTTTTTATGTCTCTGAATTAAATCGCCTAATAAATTCAGAGTATATATATAAACGAAGTCAAACTTTCAATTGAATTTTTAGTAATTGATTTTCTTGCCATATGGAAATAATTTATTTTATTAAGTATACATATTTTTTACTAAGGAAAGAAATAATATTTTCCTCCGAAAAAATCAGTGTTCCTGATTAATCAAACTGCTTTTGACAATTTAATTTTTTTATCCATTAACTTTTAATCTTCTCGTCGTCATGTTGCATAAATCATTCTCTTTCTTTAAGAAACCTTTTTACTTCACGCGGATGAGCGGAAGCTGACTATTCTTTAGATGTAACAAATATTCTTTAGGGCATTAATCTTTTTTCGTAGCTGTGCAAGGTACAATTTTTTAGATTCTTTACGAAAATAAATCATAACTTGTATAAATCCTTGCTTCGTTTCTTTTAAACCAGGAAAAACGGAATGAAGTCTAAACATACAGTAAAAAAATGTCATTTTTCTTGCATTACCTCCGACGTATATCAAATGTTGTTATGATTGCAAATGCCAAGGCGTTTTAGTTGTTTAAACAAAAACACCATGCCATTCTTTTGCTAACGTAATTATTGAGTGCATTAAAGGTTTTTATAACCATTATATGATTTGAGACTCAACAAAACACACATTTTTTAAGAAAAGAAGATATATTTAAATATACATGTGTTGATGATTACTTAAAACAAGGCAGATGTATTGTCGAATACTATTTTACATACCAGGTAGTTTTATTCCTGATTGAAAGTTAATTTAAGGTACATATATACCCTTGTTGAAAACTGATCATCAATAATTGATTTCAAATAGCTATAAAACGCGTGTATTTGTTATATATTTTTATTTTCTGTTGAGAAATTGATGACTTGTTATCAAATATCTCTATACATGGAGGGCGGGTGGGGTTGAACGAGCCGTTAACTGTATTCTACGTACATTTACATTACTGTAGATGTTTGTAAATTTTATATTTTTATTCAGTATATTATTGATACATACCAATATCATACAACAATATTATACACCTATTTACTGGCTATGAGGACAATAGCAAGTTTATCGTCCCCCAAGACAGCAAACTATTTCCCGAGGCGCAGCCGAGGGAAATAGTTTGCTGTCGAGGGGGACGATAAACTTGCTAATCCCTATTGTCCGAATAGTCAGTAAATAGGTGTTTTATTATACCGATGCTGACTTAACTTTTGTTAACTTTTGGGAGTCCAGGGTACACACAATTATGATATTCCGTATTATACCGGTTCTGACTTAACTTTTGTTACGTCATAATATATACGCGTCACAATCCATGTAAAATCAGAAGTTTTCCGAGATGAAAAGCGAGGGAAATCGAATGCTGCCGTTGAATAGTTTGAGGACTATTCACCATGGGCAAATAGCACAAAAACTATTTCACGGTAGAGACTGTTTAGAAAAAAAAGCATGTTTATTCGTCTTATTTTTATATAGAAAAAATAAACAGAGGTATAATAATGTATATTATTTAATGCCGGGAGTGGACTATCTAAGTTTTTGGAACTTTTGTCCATCACCGATAAATAAGTATACATATACTGGAAATAAAGTATGTTTGAAACAAAACAAGGAATTGAAACATTTTATCAAAATAGATTTTTTTTCCCAACATTTTGCAAATTCTTCATGGTCATTTTAAAAGTGTCCTTGTTATTCATTTAAACTTCCTATTTTGAATGGCATGGCATGCCTTACTCGTTTATATGTTACATCAAGATGGTCCAAAACAAATTAGACCACTAATTACAAATTATCAATCTTTTTAATTTCACATGACCGTATCTTTGATAATTTGAATTGATTATATAGACATGATAGAGTTACCGGGGAAAAAGTTTAGTAAATAATAAAATTTGATAATTTTCTTTGTGACTTTCTTTGAAATTTTTCTTATCGCCGATATATGGCTGAACTATTGTCGGAGGCATTAATCATTAATTATTCAACAATCAATCAATCAATCAATCATTTTGTCTTAAGTAAATGGTCGCGGAAGCCTAGTAAAAGGATTCTGGCCACGTTGACAAGATGCTATGCATCTATTTCTGGTTCCGTTACTCTTTCTTACCTATATATCAAAAAAGAGCAAATTAAATGGACATACCACTGATACATTCAATGCCCCAACCTGTTTTACGTTTCATTTGATTTCTTCATTCATAAGCCATTGTGAAAGTCGTAATGATATACTGAAGTTTGGAAACAGAATATATGCGTTAAGTTATTGTATATATGGCACCGGTATTAAAATTTATCCTGAACTCATATGTCTTTATTTATTATGAGATTAAGCAGATGGTACTGGTTGTCTTAGTTTATCTCATTAAATTATATCATCATCACTCACTGGTTGACTCGGTAAACATACCCACGTTTAAGTTTAACTTCCCTGAGAAAATTCTGGATTCTACGAGAATATTGTGAAATAAAACGCAGTACCTTTTTCGTTGTATTTATTAACATGTACCTTGAAAATCAATCATTTAAAATGAAGGATTGATAAAAAAAAAATATTAAATACCATTGTTGCTAAATGAAATACAAAAATGTATCTCAAAATATTATGTTATCAACTTAGTATAGTAAAAAGAAGTAAATGAATTTTACAATGTCGGATTATTTACATTCAACAAAAAAAAGTTAAGCTCATAAAGACACACATCTAGCACAGAAATAACATAAATGATCAAAAATACGTAAAAATTACATAGACAATACGTTATTATTTTTAATATAAAAATTATATTGCTTGTACAACGCAAAAAAGGATCACCACAATACAATATAACTAACTTATGAAAAGAAGAAACTGAAATCAATTATTGCTTTTACAATGAGTAAAAAAGAATCACCCACTCACAAAAAAAAATAATTAAATATTTTTAAAAAATGAGATTAATTATTCTTGTTTCACTTTCAAAATGCTGAGAACATATTAGGCATTCAAACATTTCTCACTATTACGGCACACCTAAAACTCAAAGGTAATTAACAACTGTCTTTTGATGATATACACTTAGCTATGAGAGGACAACGTCTTCGAAGAATGTTACATGTATAAACGAGAACTAGGTCAATATCATTGGCCTTTGTTCTTCTTATTCAATCGCTTTATGTAATGAAAACGGTATGTGAAGGCACTTAATGAGAAAGTTCATTTCTCAGAAGTTAAAGAAATAGTTAGTTATAATTAAGGTCAAGTTGATTTTCAGAACTTGCATTTCTCATGTGGTTATCTTAGGGAGATGTGTGCTGTAGAATAATTCTTTAACTGATTGAGATGAAGAATATTTTTGTTGAAAAGAATCGAAGATAATTATTTCCCCAGGAGACCTATCAGTCAAAAATAACAAACAACATGAATGCTATGTTTATTATTCACTGTAGAAATTTACAAGCATTCATTTCCTCCTTTCAACCTTCTCCAGTGAACAAATTGCCTCTCGATTTCAGCATTATCTGAATTTTTCTGGGATAATAACCCGGTGAAGATGGAAAAAACACAGCCTGACCAGTGATTTGAAGAAATCAAGATTATTGTGTTGCTGTATCGAATAGGTTATTAAATTGAGAATATTAAAGCCTTATCTGAAAGGTAAGAAAACGTCTGTCTATATAAATAATGTAACTTTCAAAATGTATAATTATATGTTTAATGTAAATGAATAGCCGAGTGACATTTTATTAAATAACTGAAAAAAATAAAATTAACTCTTTGAAACTTCTTCATATTTATTAAGTGTAATCAACATTTAAATTCTGCTTTTTTCCAATTAATTTTAAAACAAAATAAATATCTATAAGGAGATGCTTGTATTACAAAATGCCAGTACCCATGTCTTTTCAATCATGCAAGATTGTAGACACTGCTTACCATTTCTCAGAAAATAACGAACAGTTTATAAATCTAACAAGTCCTACAAAGAAAACATATCGAGAAGATAGCAAACATACTAGTAAACAACGTCCGGTGAAAACTCGAGCCTCTGGTAAAAGATAAGAGTTAGGATGACATTTATGGAGATGACAAAAATTACTTAAGCTCAAAAGTCCATTAAACAATACAAATTATCATGATTATGAAGCAAAGCAAACATGGACCCTTAAAAATCAGAGGTTGGATCCGGTACCAAAGGTTTCTTTCACTTCGCCCCCACTCCATGAATTACAATTGTGGCCCGTCGTTTCGCATATCATTTTGTACCTGTAGTTTGAATTTCATCTGAATTTTGAAAATATGTAATATTCTGCAGTTATTAAATGATACCGTTTAGATTTATTGTAAATATCCTTTCCAGAACTTCTAAGAAAAAAGGGAAGTTAGGATATTAAATATCTAACCTTCTTTAGCTATCTGAGATCTCTCTGATATAGGGAAAAAAGGAAGGCACTTATTTTCTTTTTGCTTGATTAGATTCAATCTGATTTATTAACTGCGTATTTGTACTGTTTGTTTGATAAGTTTAAAATGTGGGAAAAGAAGAAAGGCAAATAAGTAATGGATTATACTTACATTAGTGTGACAGGTAATTTTTTTCAAATATCAGATTTCGTTTGGGAGGGTATTAATTATGATGTCGTTTTGGGATGTATAACAATTCTTTGACTAGAACCATAATTAATTAGAAAAAAGCAGGACACACTTTTTTTGTTTGATACTATAAACTGAATCATGATTATAACCCAAGCATAAGTTGTAAATGCATGGTTTTTGTTGTTGCATTCATATCAAATATAGTATAAAAATGAAAGCTTTGAAGAAATATATAAAGCAAAATTTGAAACTTTGATATGTTGAAAATCTTGATTTTTTTCTCTTTGTGATACACCGTTAGATTTACCTGTAATAATTCGACTGTATTTATAGCCTCTATGCAGCAATAAGTAAGAGTACACGACAGCTTTTCTTTTGTTGTTTATAGGGTCATATAAAGGTAGCCTATACAATACAGTGGTCAGGGCATGGTCCCAATAGCTGGGACTGTTGTATCAGGAAAGTCATTAAGTTTCCTAACCATTTGACTTCTCCTATAAATGCTTCAGAGACCATTAATGGCATAATTCTTCCAGTTACTGATGGAAATGTGTGAAGTCCTTCTTAGTGGGAAAAGTTAATTCTATATCATTATAATATCATGAAAAATAAGTTGTTTATTCCACCTCAACCCTTTTGATGTATATTTGCTCGTTATCATAGTTGCATATAAATCATTTATGATTCAGTAGTTTATGCTAAGGAAGCGATTGTCTCAACAAACAGATAAAAATGCCCAACTATTAGATTAAAACTTTATTAAGAATATCAGGGATGAAACATATGTAGAAAACGAACAATATTCAAGATCAAAAGTCCTTTAAACAATACAAAATAGGAGCAGAGCAAACAAGGACCTTCAAAACATCAGAGTTGGGAGCAGGTGCCATATGGAGGAGAAGGCATCCCCTGCCGAACGGTCATACCCGCCGTCTGCTCCTTGTCATGATCGGGAATTAACTGAAAAATCCGTCGTTAATTCAGTGTTTAAATAATGGACTAAGAACAAGTATGAAAAACGTCGGTACTAGTCAGCATTTGACTCAATGATATTTTGTATTTGCTCACAAGTTCAATGTATTGACCGTGGAACTTACGAAATAATGCCTTTAAACGAGACAGCTGAAGTTCTTGTTTCATCAACTTTTTTGTCAATATGAATTTATCTGACAGTGCTTAAGTCTAAGATCTTTCAGATGTAAAATGCATCTGTTTTATTTTAAATATAAGAAAATACCAACTAAAGAAATAAATGGATCACATATTAAAATAGATTGAAATGAAGAAATGAACCCTGACAATGAGTTTCTGATATTTTGAAATAAAAGAATTCAAAGACTACTAGTTAAACAATTGAAAGAATTTCTAGCTAATGTCATACTATTTGATCCGTCACATCTTAATTTGGCCTTGACCATTACAGTAAATAAATCATGGACACTCGTGTATATGTCCAAACATCTGATCCCCACTACAAAGGAATAAGAAGCCATATGAAAAGTCATAAGATGTATTGTTTGTTTGACGACCTTTTCGAGAATTTTTCGATCAATAATTTGGAGACGCTGCATATTTTGTCCTATAGTCGGCACTCAGGGCCATAGAGCAGGAAGGGATCTTGTTCGTGCCAGCCCATACTGCGACATGGGACCGCAATTTAGACTGTCTCATTCGAAGGACCGGTCTCCACGTCTTTCAGAAGGATTAGAACCGGCGATGCAAGAATCAACTTCTTATTTCGCGACTCTAGAGCAGACGCTCTAACCACCGCGCGACGCGGCCGAGTAAAATAAACTGTAAATACACAGTATAAGCATTATAACTATAAGGCTTAACAACGTTATCTGGAATATATGACTATGTTTGACAAGCTGCTTTCTTTTTGTTATTTCTCTTGAGGATAATTCAATTATCCATTATATTCTCTAGTTTTATCTTTTTTTAAATTGCTCTTGAATGTTGTTCTTTACATCGCCCACACTGGGCCACGTTTCATTTTGTTTAAAAAAAATGTCAGTATCCCTAATAATGTTTCTTCTAAATGTTTTGCCACTTTAAATCAAAACAGCATGGGGTATCTAGGGAAAAATTTTAAGCTAATTGGCTTTGAATTACTCATTAGCCCATTTCTCTGCAACTTCAATTTTCTTACTGTTTGATAATTTCTATAATTTGTAATTTTGAAAAAAATATCTTTATTTTCTTTTATCAAAGTAAAGTTTCTAATCAACATACAAAGCATTTAGTATTTAAAATCCTCTTTGTAAGAAAATGAGAAGAAAACCCTGATAAACAGTTTTAAGCAAATGTTTAGGATCGCAAGCAGATTTTCACATTTATTCAGTGTTTTTCTATCTTCTTACTTGAAACAGACCAATATTTTTAAATATAAATCACGACTTCCATTTTCTGAACATATGGTTCTTCTATTGCAGTGATACCAATCTTGATCCAAGGATAATTGCCTGATGTGGGGGGGTCAGCAAATTCTAAACAGTGTAAAGAAGCAATCTCTCTTCGTCTTTGTAAATACAATGTGTAAGACAGATTAATTATATGTATTGGAAATTCGGAATATTGTCTGTACAAGGTAAGTTCAGGATGAAACTAAAATGATCTTTTTTCATATTAAAAAAATAATAAGATGCATAGAATCTTTAAGTACAATTAAATGATTTGACGGCAAAGTAATTTCTTGCTTATTGTTCATTGATGAATGTTTCTTTGTAATAAATCATTACTTTTATATCAGTACATTTTCACATTTTCTAAGCGACTGTGAGTGTGTCTGCGCGGCTTATAAATTGCACATTCCTACCATTTATGAATGCAATCATGCTAAAATGTTATTCATATGTTTTTATACAGAAACGAGCATTAAAAAGTAAGATTTTCCCCATAAAATGCAAACAACTCCTCCCGATCTTTTTTATAGATCAAGGTAATATTTTGACCTTGCCCTAACAAAACAGTACTATTGTTTACTAAGTTATTTATCGTTTACTAAAGTATCAAGGAGTTTACTATTAATAATGAATTAAAGTTGTCACTTATATTAAATAAACGTTTTATTACTTGAATTTCAGTTGTAATGTTTTTGTTATTTTTTGTTTTATACATTCAATTGTTTATTAAATAGAAGGATGACTTGTAATCACGTAGTACACTGTATTTCTAAAGTCTATATCTCTGAAATAGAATTTTATTATTTTAAAGATAATAAATATTGAATTTTCAAGAAAAGTTATTAAGTAAAGTTTCATTACTTAGTAAATCAAAGTATTTACGACAGTTAACTAATAGTAAAGTATAGTTTACAAAAGTTAACTACAGAATTTTTTTTCTAAGATGATAATGGCAACATTAAAATATTAATTTTCAATTATTTTATAGAAGATTCACCGCTGATGATAAAAACTTTATCTTTGAAATTAATAAATTGGATCACACGGACATATAATAATGCTACAGGGTAGAGAGATCAAGTGATGAGCAACAAACCAAGACATCTTTGTCATCTATAAAAAAATGTATTATTATCAAGCACTGAAGTTCACACAAAGGCTATTTACCACAAACCAGTTACTTTCTGCCTCTTGGAAATATTTTTTGTGCACGCTCTGAAAGAAAATGTAAATGTAATATAATATCAAATCAAGATTCATAGAAGAGTGAAATTAAGCTACAATTTGCTCCAAGTCATCATATATAATCCGTTAATTAAACCATAGACCTTTTCTCTCATATCCTTTTAAACTGCATATTCAGGGAAAAAAAGTAAATAATAATTTTTTTCTTCACATTTTGATAAGTACAGATAAAATGATAGTTGATTGCAAATATATGTAAAAGGTTACTACACTTTGAAGCTGTCCTGTACGTTCAATGGTCGATACAGTGACCTTGTCAGCAAATACAATTTATCACTCAATTGCATGCTATTTTTATCCTATTGTTAGTCCATAGTATTTGATCATGACAAGGAGCACACAGGGTGTAATATGCAAAACTATGTTCTTTCTTTGAGGACTGATATCACATTTATTACGAATTATTCATGCTTGATCTACTCTTGTTTTGTATTGTTTTATGGACTTTGAGATTGGGTGCTGTTCGTTATCTCCATATCCTTCTTGAAAACCTATTTCTCGATCCACATTTCCTAGTAGTCATGCTATTAATATCCTATTCTTGGGGTTTTGTGGAGACAGTATAATATGCATAACTGTGTTCTGTCTTTGTGGACTAATATCACATTATTAAGAATTAAATAAAAATCTTTGTTTTGTTTGATTATATATATTTTTTTTATAAATCAAATAAAAAGTATTATATAAACTTTAAGATAAGCACAGCATGTTTTTTTTTCTTTTCTTGATACTATCTATGAATAACCTCTAAATCACATTTAAAATGAAGAAAATAAAAGAAACATAAACTTAACTATACATTGTTATTGTGTAATGCTACAAAGTTTTAAAAACTATTCATTCATCTTTTTTTGCAAAGATTGCCCTGAAATTTATAAATCAAATATTTCTGAATATTGTGTTTGTTCTAATTATATGCAGTATTTTCCTCTAGCTATAAACAGTCTGCAGAAAATCAATAGTTCTTTTCAGACAAAAAAAAAAACAGCTTCAACAAAAATTTAAACATCTCTTTCACAAACAAACAAACAAACAAACTTTCATAAATATCAGACGAAAATGGAAAAAATCTAACCAATTTGTTTCCTGTTGCATCAGGATAAGAACCATTTTTTGAAAAAAGAAAAATCGGTTTAAATATCATAAGATTACGTTATGTCTACAAATAAATTTACGCGATTGTCCTGGGGATGTATGAGTGCGTTGATATATCATTTATGGCCTAACAATGCCTGTTCAGCAATGCGACATTTCAGTTTATTCACATCTGTCATTAAAATGCAAACCACAACTGCATCATGAATGTTGTCAAATGTAGCATTCAAGTCAATCAAAAATATGACAAAAAATGAATTGAGGCTTTTTTCTTCATAACTTTCATAGAATTGGATTCATATAATGACTAAATGGTGTTGTAGATGCAATGATCTTATGATCTTAAGGAAAAGATTTTACGTTCATTGAAGAGAAACAGATTGTGCAGAGTTAATAAGATGAAAGAATACTTGCCCGGAAGACCCTTTTTTTTCTCTTTTGACACCTCTCATTTTCACTTGATAACCACCCTGAGAAATAAATATAACCCGCTTTGATGCTCTAATGGGCTTTTATAACAACATCAATGAGCAGGAAATCAGGAAATTGTAAGAATACATTTATAAACATCATTTCACACAACTGCTGCCTGAGTAAAATATATGCAAAACATCTCTCTTTCATAATGATAATTACTAAAGCCTCCATAAAGAAAGACTTCTAGATCCACCCCTCCACTTTCTGATTTCATGATTATTTATGTCTCAGGAAGGCAGTTCTGTAGTGTGGTTTTATGAAGAGTCTAACACATAATATTTACGACAAACACTCAAACTATCCCTGTCAAAAATTTTCACTTCAGCCGCCTCTAGACTGCCAAACTACTTCCTACCGGAAAATTCCTTTCGTGTGACTACTTCAGATATCCCTGACTGCTGAAAACAATTGCTAATAGATAAAGCCAATCCAGCGTAAAAACGTTTATAATTTTCTCAGATATTTTGAGGGAAAAGCTAAATTCAAAAGTATAGTGTTCAAATAAGATATAAGATATTATGCATCTCACTGAAAAAAAAATTTGGCAATTTAATTTCGTTCGCTTTTTTTTGGTTTGTTGTTTAACTTCCCTCTTAAGAATTAATCACGTATATGGAGATGCCAACCATTGCTGATTAGAGAGCTGCGCATTGTTGTCCTATACTGGAAAATAGGGCCATTAAGTAGTGAGGTTTTTTTTTTGTTCTAATGCCTGCTGTGATACGGGTCTCGGTTTATACGGTCCATCCACGTCCCACAGAGGGATTCGAACCCGCGAAGCAAAGATCAACTTCCCGACTCTATAGCAGACTCTCTAACCACTGCGCCACGCGGGTTAATCTTAATCCGTTACAAATGCATTATTTGTAAATAAATCCAATAGTATGTCTGATGTGTTTCATTCAAACGGTCAAACAGTAGGCCATGGCTTGTATACAAGATTTGAATATGGTTTAGTGTAACGTATTTATAATAAATCAAAGGGATCTTGGCTTGTACACAAGATTTGAATATGGTTTATCAAGGTAAATTAAAATCAACAGTATATTGCTGTAAAAATCGGAGACAACAACAAAATCACATGGGTCTTATAACATTTAAATAAGATGTGCATATACTGATACACAGGGCTTACAGTCCTTCAGCTATGTAAGATGCCTTAAACAGGGACAATGCTTACTGGACAGCCAATAGGACACAACAAACTATGGCTATCCCTATGTTGGAGGTACCTAACTGGGTTGGAACTCTCTAACTGTAAAACAGGAGAGGAATATAACACGCGAATTCTTATTTCACGACACTCGTCTTCTAACCTTGGCTGCATCCAGACTATTGTATTGTTTTTAAAGGATTTTCCTCATGGTCAAACGAGAAAATTCCTAAATCATTACAATACTCCGTTTACCTGACCAATACATGTGACTGATACACACGGCTTCCGACAGCTATGACGTGTCATCTCTTGAATTTATGTCCTCTTCACAGATTTATGTTTTTTGGATTTTCTGAGATCATTCACCATTCTTTAGGTACTTTAACATTTCCATCGTTGTCATCATTTAGTGCTACAATATGCATACCTTTTTCAGATTCCACTTCAATCTTCATTAATGTTAAGGCAAATGCAAGTTATATTTCAAAAATATAAAATACTGAATGAATACACAATATCACGTCATAATTTACATAGTCTCAGTTCAAAATATGCATAAATGTTCATATTTAAAAGAACTACTTCTTTAAATAAAAAATAGCAACATTCTGATTTTTAGAATTATTTCATAATCACTAAATCCAATTCCAAAATCTGTTTTAAAATGTTCTTCTTGAGGAGAGTTTCATAAGAAACATGGTCTTCTTTTTAAATGATCTGCATCCGCTTCTTTTCCGGTGACGAATACAACCTTAAGTGTGCATCTATATTTCGAAACGACAACAATGTAATAATTTTCCACTTTTGTTACAGTTAAGGCAGCATGAACCTGACGGATCAAGAAACATCTTCTGGAATGACAACAGGAAAAAGCGAGTTCAATTATGGTCGATATTCAACGACGATAGCTTACCTGTCCATTGATAACGATAATCTGACAATGTCGGCAGGTGTTTTTTCCGGTAATTTCACTACAACTAAGGATGTTGTCATCCCACTCACTGTCGAATATTTCAACTCAAAGGAGGTACCGCACTACATACCCGCCCTTGTGTACACGTTTCTACTCCTGATTATTGGTGTCCCCGGGAATTCAATAGTGCTTTATGTTTACTTCCAAAAATGGGGACGCAGTTCCACAAGGACTTTTATTCTTGGATTAGCTATGTTAGACTTAGTGAATTGCCTGGTGACTTATCCTATGGAAATCGCTCTTATGTTACGGCCGTTCGTATTCGACTACCCAGTGTTATGTAAAGTCACCCGCTTCATTACGTACGGTTGTAACACATCCAGTGGACTTGTTCTCATAGCAATCGCTGTAGACAGATACCAGCGTATCTGCAGACCTCTAAACAAGCCCATGACAACTGACACTGCCAAAATCATCATCTTCAGCTCTATTGGAATTGCTGTACTATTCTTATGGCCAGCACTGGTGTTGTATGGAACGCAAAGCATTCCTGTGACAAAGACAGTCATTTTAAAACTTTGTCTGATCCAGGATAATTATGTTACCACCGATTACCCTTTGATATTCTTTGTTTTCAACGGGGTTTGTACTGTGATCATATTCCTAATTCTGTCCATAGTTTATTCAATAGTAGGTGTAAAAGTCTGTAAACTTCGCACTTTCCGCTCTAAGTCACGTTCTGTGACGTCACTATCAGATTACGTAGATGAGGACGATCAGCTTTACCTTGGAGATCGTGACGGGTCGTGCAAATCACAGAAGGAGTTTCTTCCTTTGAAAGGTAAAAAAGGGCAGCAAACTGAACGTGATACGAAAGATATTCCACCTGCCCCTGGAGCTATCAAACTGGTCTTCAAAACTACTTCCGATACTTTGAAAAAAGCGCGAAAGTCAGTATCAGACAGACGCTTTAGAAGAGTTGGCAAAACAACTTTAATGTTGTTTCTTGTGACTGTTTTGTACGTTATTTGCTTTACGCCTTTTCTAGGAATTGCTTTTCACAGAACCATTCACAAAGATTCGTTCAAATTTCTCACACGGGCTCAGAAAATGGCCTTTTATTTGATATTAAGATCATATATGTTGAATTGTGCCATAAACCCCTTAATTTATTCTTTTTGTAATGACCTCTTCAGAAAAGAATGTACATATATCTTTAAAAAGTTTTGTCGTAAAAACAGAGGATAAATTTATTGTTAATTTATATATTCATTAATGTATGTTAAAACTTGAGGCTTGTATACTCTGGCTTAAATTAATGTAAGTTGGAAAGATTAATAAATGTGAGAATCAGTCCAGGGATTGGAGAAGACATTTTATTTGCCACCTGAAGTGTGACTCATATCGAAAGGGATGTTGCGGTCAACTGTTCAAGAATGTCTTCCTTCCGCAGAGACTGGTTAGGAAGAGAGATACTTATAAATCTTTTTATATTTACTATAGATATGTCAAACATATTTTGATAAAGTGGGTATTTTGTTAAACATAAAAAAAAATCTTATACGCGAGTCGTAGTGGATATAGCGTCTGCTTTATAGTCACAAAGAAAGGAGTCTTGGGATCTAATCCACTGCCTGCAGGACGTGGAAACTTGTCCATCTAATGAAACCGTATAAATGGTCGCATGAAGTGTTGTAAGAAAAAGATCCCTCACTGGTCAAATGACCTGAGTGCTGAGTAGATGTTAAAATTTCCAGTCCTCCATCGAAGTGGTGGCGTCTCTATCAGAATGAAAAAAAGTCTTACTAGGGAATTTAACAACAGAGAAACAAACCAACAACCCCTTCGAATAACACCATTTCTCGGTAATATAGCAGTATACAACATTAAAAATATGCCATTGCAAAAATCTTCCAGCAGAGTTAAAAATAATGACTAGACAAAACACATTATTAGTTGTTCATAATTTTAAAAATAATTTTTCCTTTCATGTTGTGAGCATGATCCAAATTGATATTTTATATCTCTTCAATATAAAACTTTACAAAACACAGAAGACTTTTCCGGTGTCATTTTCATGGTAAAGTGTCAATAAAATATAAAATGGCAATACAATACATGCCTTTGCCTTTTTTCTTTACTTTACAATGCTGTCATTTATTGATAGCATTGAAATCATTAATTGATAATTTATGATGATTAAGTTTCTTAAAACGGTTGATATTTCATCAAATCATCATTAGAACTCCTCAAATATTCTCGGATTATATTTAAATGAAGAGCTGAATTTAGACATGTTAAGGTCTTTCAGATTGAAGTCGTTTTCAGGTGATTCCTCTGGAGTTTCTATTCAAAACCTGTAATAAACATCATTTATAATGCTTATCTGAAGCCTCTCCTTCTAATAATATTGAGGACATTTTTCATACTAATGCATAATCTATGAACGAACAATTTCTAAAATGAGGTAAGTTATTGACAAACAAGTTGATGAAACAAGAATTTCAACATTCTTGTATAAAAATCCTCATATCGACGTCTCTATGGTCGATACAAGGACCTAGTCAGCATATACAATTTATCAATAACTTTAATATATTGAGTCTTATGCTGACTGACATTTTTCAAACTAATTATTACGTCATTATCAACACAATGAATTGTCGAATAATTTTCCTGTTATTTTCCAATCATGACATGATGCACACGGCGGGTTTGAACGGTTACAGGGGATGTTAACCCCTCAATGGGGCCTGTCCAATGTTTTAAGTTTTGGAAGTCCGTTATTTCCCTGCTCCAGATTTGCATTGTTTGAACACACTGATGAGCGTGAATACATTTCTTTTCTCAATATGTTTTATTTACAAGAGCTAGGAAAGATAACTGTTATTTACTCCTACTCACTACGGCAACATCGATTTATCCTTCCATTCCATAAACAGAATGCATATTTTTCCTATTGTTAAGTTACAGTAAATTGATCAAAATTGGTTGAAGAACGTATTAGACAGAATTGTGGCATTCCCAGCCAGAGCATACGGGGCTCTGTAGTTAGGATAGAGCTCTATTAATTATGAAATTATATTGTACAAACCCTCTGAATTTTTTTTTCGTCCCCTTGTATATTTAGCAAATGCAGACTTCTGCTGGATTTTTAACCTGACCAAGTTATTGATAATATTGTGAATTTGAATTAATTCTTAAAAAATTGCCTCTGTTTGGAGTATATCATATAAGCAAACAAACTTAGTGCATGATTATATATTTTTTTTTAAATAGGCTTGCAGTTAAGGTAAACTGCCAATGTTATATCTTCACAAGGGATACACCACTAAGGGAGTTACATGTATAAGGTGATTTAAAGAAATTATACCACGGTTATTGGGAATTATCCACACTTCTAATGTTTTATTTCTGATTTATCCACACTTCTAATGTCCATCTCTGATGTTTTAGAGGTCATTGTTTGCTCTGCTCATATTTTGTATTTTTAATGAACTTTTGAGCTTGAATTTTTTCGTTATCTCCATATATTTCACCTAGTCTTTTTTAGTGAGACAAAAAGATTATAAATTAAATTATCGATAAAATAAATCCATTTTAGCTGATGCTCATGTTTTCATTGACAAAAATTATTTTTACGATCGTTTTAACCAATATTTGTTCAAAAGATTCTCACAACATTACTTTATGACAAAGTGTGATATATTTTCCATGGACTACTAACTACAGTCTGAGCTGCTCTTCAAAGCAAAAGTCATGCATTCCAATCAAAAAATATTAGCAAGTCAATCAAACTGCAGGTTTGGGATAAATTAAATATTAACAATGATAATTCATCTTCACTGACAGAAAAAACCCTTTTATGTACATACAGGAATGGAACCAATCGAACAGTCACGTTCTGTTACTGCAAGTTGCACACCATTTTGTCTCCATTGTCTCCATTGTATATGAGAATGAGAATTGAATAAAAATGCCTATCTATCAGATCACAGACCTTTTCTTAAACCGAAAACAGTGTAATGTATTGATAAAAAGTGATGTTAAAAAATAAAAGTCGACATTCATAGATGAAATATTTAAAACAATGAATGCATGTTGTTAGTGTATAACCTGTAAAAAAATCTACATTTTACAAGAATGGATTTTTAACTTTTTGTATATATTTTCAATTTGCCACATTACCCGCCTTTTTAAATGATATTAACTAATTTATAATAAAAAAAGTTGTCTTCATCAATAATTTTTTCTATAATACTGTATCTCTAGAACTACAATCAGCTGCAAAAGCAAAGAAATAAACTTGCTGACTTTACCATTGTTTTCTAACTGCTCGGGGATGTACCAGAAAGTAATAAATAAAAATTGACAAAATGGGTCAGTGTTTAATTATGAATTGGCATTATCCTTCTCCAGATCATGACAAAGGCACCCCTTGGGATTTTCTGTCTTGGTAGCAATGATATTAAAAATGGTCTTATGACAGAGTATGTGTTTATTCATTCACCATTCGAATATATTTATAATAATTTCTCTTTCCTACTCAATTGTCTTTCAAATTATAGCTAGGTAATATATTGTTATCAAGAATTGCCATGTGTATTTCTCTAATGATGATAACAGATATATGAGGCAAAATAAAGATTTGTGAGAATTTATATAAAACATAAATTTATTTGAAAACTATGTCTGCGAAGGCAGTGCTAAAATGTATATTAATTGAACTAATGTCTTTTTTTAAAAAAAGGCAATATACAGATCATCACAAAAATAAATTGAATATTAGTAAAATAATATACACTTATCCACTGGTTGTGAGTGAGACAGCTCTTGTATTAAACCCGCGACAGGGAACTATTTTCCGAGGGTGGATAGCAAAAACTATACTCCGGGGTAGTTAAAAGATAGTTATTTTACCTTCTGAACTTTATATAGGAAACATTTTAACAGAAGTATAATAAAATTAAACATCTTTGTTTCAAAATTCAGCTGCACTTCCAATGGTGCTATATTACAAATATTTTTCAGAGAATTTCTGACAGGATAATATTGCTGACAAAATTAAGTTTAAGATAGAAGTCTATCCCATTCTTTTAGACACAGTTGGTACATGTCCTACACTGTAAAAAATAACTAGTTAATGTCACGAAGAAAACTAGTAGATTCACTGTCCATATAATCACTACCTTAATAGTAGTTTTACCAGATCTTGGTATATTTACTAGATAATATTAGTAAATTTAGAATTGATGAGTAACTTTCACTAGGTACATGTTTCACCCCCGCTCCACAACTCACTATCTTAACCAGTAAACAGAAAGTTTACTAATCACGACCAACGCTTTACGAAACACACTAGTTAAATTCACTAGGTTTTTCTTTCAGTGTAGTAAAGTTTTATTTTGACAAAAAGAAAAATAATGGCTATATCTATCCAAACATGAAGGGAAATTATCTAAATTTTGGTGTTAACATATGTAACATGATGACCACACTTATATAGAATATAATTGCTGTCAATAAATTGCTCTTAAATTTTTAAAAAGATTAATCGATTTTTACTGATGTTACAAAAATCTCATTAAGTAATAGATTTGTGAAACAGCTAATGCAGAGTCCAATTTCATCTATTGTACATTTCAATTTAAATTTCATTGACATATACTTTCCTTATTTACATAAAACGTACATGTATGTACATATTTTTATTATAAATATAAAAAAAAAAAATTCTTTGCTTTGGTAATACAAAGTGAAAACGAAAAACCTAATAAACTCAATTGAAAACCTCTAAAAAAATCAAGTTTTGAAGTTTGCAAAAAAATTTTCACTGATTTATGCAAAAGAAATAGGTATAGATGATAAAAAATAAATTAGCTCCAAAGTAAAATCCTTGTCCCCATATTTCTGTTTTCTTGTCCGCTCTTATCTGAATATCAAGAGTGTTATCATTTTATAGGAAAAAAATAACAGTTTATTTTTTCCCTGAAAGGTCTGATGGAATCAAGGAGAAAATCAACCAATTAATTTTATTACAATTATATGCATACTATACACATGCCGATTATAAAAACACAAAGCAAACGTACATTTATACCATGCCAAACTTACCTTTTTCTCAAATAGAACGACGTGTTTAATGTTCATTTCTTTCATATTTGCCTTGCCGATATTGTTTTTCTAAAATATTGTTATTAGCAATAAGTATTGTTTAGAGAAGATTTCAGCGCTTTTCAAGCTCTTTGAAGCTTTGTCATTGTGCAAAATACAAAAAAAGACATAAAATATGTAGATAACGGTAGGAAATCAAACTCCAACGTCTATCCCAGCAATACAAATACATGTATGAAGCAGAGCAAACAGAGACATCCAAAATATAAAAGGTGGGATCAGGTGCCATGGAGGAGGGAGTATCTCCTGCCTTCCTGTCACACCCGCCGTGTGCTCCTTTTCATGATCGGGAAATATTGGAAAATTCTGTCGACAATTCCTTTCGCAAACTACCGCCTAACAACAAGTAAGAAAAACGTCAGTTTCCATTCGATTTAATGTTAAGGTTGTAGATGCTGACAAGATCATTGTATCGACAATAGAACTTGTGAAATAAGGATTTTTAATGAGACTGTTAATGCCCCTGTTTCGTTAACGGGTACCTGTAAAGTGCGAAACGAAATAGAAACGAAACGAAACGAAATCTGCCGAAACGAAACGAAATCTACCGAAACGAAACGAAACCTACCGAAACGAAACGAAATCACGACGAAACGAAACGAAACCTGCCGAAACGAAACGAAACAAAACTATGAAAATGTTTGGGGTTTTTTTCAAATCAAGGTACACGTATATAATTATATATGTGTAACTGCATGTGAACTTTTTTTTTAATCAAATAAAATTTATATACACATGTATATATATATATATAGTTCAAGCACTTGTTAATATAAAATTTTAAATTATTGATAAATTATGCTCCCTTCTCAGTCTAATGATGTATTTACATGTTTACCAGCTGCAAATATGCACGAGCGTACTATGCATGTATAATTTCAATGTGTGCAGTATTTTTTAATTTTTATATCTTACTCT